TGATCTTCACATTCGTTGGTAGATGTTTAATTCGATCAAATCAAATACTTTTTTCTTTCTATTCTGACCAATTTGTTCAGTTTTCACTTCTATATAGAAGTATGGACTGATTGCAAAAATAATATGAAACTAAGTAAACATCAAAGACAGTTCTAGTATTTCTCTAACATTGTTCTAAAGGTGCCACTGAGAATATTGACAAGACAAGTTAGCATATTATCGAGCAATTTTAGTCGCTATGTTTGCAAATTTAAACTTGTGTGACATGGGATTTGCTGTCAGTATGAAACTGACTTCATTGGTATATGGGTCTTTGAAATCAGTTTGGTAATTTTCGCACCATGGGGACGTTAAGTTAAAGTAATACATGATCACCAGTGCAGGATACCCAATGAAAAGCGACTCCTTCCAGTGGGTGGCTGAAACTAATGTATTCTTTTCCTTTGATGCTCCCAATATTATTATAAATTTGTTTGAATGCAACCAGTATTCGATCTTTCTTCAACGCCTTGTAAAATCAACTTATCAATAATATTCCAAATTATGATACAACGCTGAATAGAAGGAAATCATTAAAGTAAGATTATTTTGCGCCAATTTTCTAGGCTATACAATAGTATTAGCTTTGACAGCCAGCATTTTTATCTCAGAACGCTAATAAATATAGCAGTTAATAATATACGTGATTCGGTCAATGTATTTGAACGCACGGCTATCTGTATAACGCATCTAATTCTCTCCCATAGATTGAGTGACTGCTGTGCTCCACAGCAACGTCAACCATATTTAATAAGACCAGCTTAGTCTGGTACAAAACTAAAATTGTGGAGCACCTAATGCGTCGTGAATTTATAACATTGAGGTCAAATTGCTAACCACATTTCTATAGCGATGATTTGAAAAGAGTTCTCAATCTTTTCTTAGTCGTGTATAAAAATACTCACTTATAACCGCTGCCACAGGGCATTGCTCTTACCGACATTGTCATCATTTTTTCACAATAGAATTTCGATTTTCCTTCTGTTTTAAAGATGAATGCTCGAAGGTGACTGAGGGAAGAAAAACTTTGTGCAACGTTATTTTTTGCTGGTAAACGAAACATATTGATTATCCTTCATAACTTTTCTCATAGAAATTGCAAGAAAAAACTACAGCCTTTTGTTAAAATTCTATCGCTAACATGAACATCTTAGAGAAGCTTATAAACTTTCTAGTTTACATGAAAAACTTACTACAAGTTCTAAATAAAAAAAAAATTTAACGACATTTTTAAATGAGTCAGCATGATGGTTATCTGTATAAAAATAGTATCAGCGAACTGAGATCGAATTCCGGCAGCGGTAGCTTGGGTGTCAATTGTTTGTCTGTCTCTATGTACTCCCTACTGGAAAACCTCTTGTAACTGTCAGTCTGGTTGATACAGGGAAAAGTGAGTAAAAAATGTTGCAAGCTAAAGAAAATATATTGAATCTTTGCTAAGACTTATATATATATATATATATATATATATATATATATATATATATCATTTTCAGCCTGTAACAAAAGAGAAAATTGTTCCCCACATATTCCATTTATGATTTTCTAAATATTTTTTATTCTTTTAATCAATTCATTTTTAACAATGACCTCTTTTTTAAAACCAATGTACTACAGCTGACTGACACCACATTCAAGGGCTTGAGTAATATTCAATGCTACTTCTATCTAAAAAAATTATAACATCCAGCATTATATAACGCTGGAGGAACGTTTGCATCTGGCACAGTGCTAATGATTTCTAGTCTTTACACATATCTATAATTATTTACTAAGCATAATTTACTTTGGACATAATGCTACAAATATAGAGACTTGAGTCGAAAGCACTTCACAGTATTAATCATTCGTTAGGCTAATTCATAAACCATTATACCCAATAAAAAGTATAAATATATTTGTATATATAGCTAGATGAAAGTGGAAAACAAGAACTAGATGACAGAATGATTGTAAATTGAGTTCCAGTTTTTAAAAAAAGAAAATTTGACTCTGATTAAAATAAAAAAATTCTTTAAAATATCTATTTTTAACATCCTTCAAAATATAATTTGTTCAAATAAAAAAAAAATTTGATTGAAACGTTTCATCGAATAGACGATTGCCATTTGTGTTGAAATGAAAATTGAAACTTCTTAAATATGGAATTTACTATAGATTTTTCACTCAAGATGAGAATTTCGAACATTTAATCCAAAACAGTGCGTTCTGAATTGAGCCGACTCTATTATAAAAGACCGAAATTTTCTAAAAGATCCAAGCGAGAAAGATGATATGCACAATTTATACGTGCCATGGATGTTTTCCTGTTCAATAGTCTAAAATAAAGTGGGATAGAAGTGCCAAGGAATAGACATCTCTTTTTCCTTTCAAAACTGAACACATTTCCACATTTTAAAAGATTTAAAAGGACAGCATTAAATTCACTATGGGAAACAGGTCTACACAAATTACTTAAACTATATAAAGGGGAATTAATGTTGGACTTTATTGGGGAAGCATTTTAAGGATGTAGTAAGCGATCTTGGCTGTTGAAATGAAATAATGATGACTCGTAATAAATTCTTAGAATCATAAACTAATCAATGAATTCTTATAACAAAATTAAATAAAAATACCTTTAGAAGTATTTCATCCTCATTCTGATGGACAGATGGCTAACAATACGTATTGCTATTGGGACATGGAATGTTCCAACTGCTATTGCTGCCGAAGTTATGGAGCTATATTCATCAATTTCCTTGGATAACATACGCTTCATCAGATTCAAAGTTGGTATACAGTACTCCCAGCACATTCAGTAGTCGACATGGTATCGAAAACATCATCGACAAATAAGAGCCAGTCATGAATTGATTAATTTGAATTTCGAAAGATTCATGAAAACTGGCAATTATCTGGTCATCCCATATGGAAAATCTTTAAGAGTACTTGAAAATTCGTTCAACATTTGGTACACTTATAACAAAAACAGTTTAAAACTAGTATTTCTCTTGAAATTATTTTATACCTTAAAACTTCCTAAGCAGCTGCTGTCAGTGGAATTGTCTGTTCCATATTGTTGCCATCAGGGATCAGTAGTCTTGCACCAGAAATTAAATGCTTCTTACATCTGTTCACAAATCAAAACTGAATATAATTTATTACGACGTACTAAATCTTAAAATATTTACATCGTTCAGAGTTTTGTTCTCATCTTTATTGCCATATTCACGACGTTTCGGCCGTTGTGCGCTCCGGCCTTCTTCAGGTTATATACGTTGGAATTTGGAACCGAACTCTTTATTTAGACTCCAGGAGTAGATTGTCATAATTCCACATGCCATGCCTTTTTCTGGATATGTCAGTTTCAGGAAGTTTCTTTTAGTAACTCAACTCCCCAAGTTTTTGTCCCCTCTGCTGGGGCCAGGTATTGAACTCACAACTCTTTGTCAACTTTTGATTACTTACTCAACGCTTTTATCCACTGGGCCATGTATAATACCTGAAGAAGGTCTGAGCGTGAAATGGCGAAAACCTCATGAATATGACAATAAAGATGAGGACAACAAATATAATAAAGTAAATATAAATAGCGTAGATAGTTACAATACCTCATCTTAGATATATAGACAGATCCTGAAGAATACTTGAGCTTATAACGGCCGAAACGTCATGAATACGGTAATAAAGATAAATACGACAGTCTGAACGATGTAAATAGTGTAAATAGAATATCTTATCCCAGAGATATAGACAGTTATTGCTAAATTTTATTTAAAATTTATGTCATTAAATATTTTGTGTAGAAACTTTATTACGATAAAAAAAAACTGTGCAGATTCTGTGTTTTGTTAAAGTTCTTTTGGCATGTCGGAACTTTTCATGCTCAACTGCCGAATGCGCCCATTTTCTGTAAAATAAGCAAGTTTCATTTGGATTAAAATCTGTCGTGTATAAGAAGAAAATATAGACCAATCAGATAAAACTAAAATATGAAGCACCTTCCACGTAGCAGTGCCAAAAAATATATATATATATATTTCCGAAGTAATCTTACCTGGACACCGCTGTGTAAAACGTTGAGATATCTGAGCTGTTTGATTTATTTGCGAGTTGATGGCCACAAATGTTAATGAATGAATATTAATGCTTCGCTTGTCACGAAAATCGGTTGAATATATATCACGATTTCAGGTAAAAAGCATGTCCGAAAGTTCTGACAGAGAAGAAGTTACATAAATCGACTTATTAGTGGAGATACCCTTATGTAATTTGAGAAAAAGACAGTCATTTCAAGAGCAACACAATAAGTTCAATAACCGAGATAATCTTTGGAAATTATAATATATTTTCCATTTCTGTGCCTATTCTGTATGGCTACTTGCTGGAGAATAGAATTTTGGAGGTTGAAAGTTTCAAATTATTCATTTAGAATGTAAAATAATTAATTTGAAGCGTTTCTCATTAAACAAAACAAGTGTTTATTGAAGCGTTTTGATGAAACTTGACTAAAGTTGGATTCCAAATTATACTGAGTTGTTTTATATTTGTTACCCGATAAACGTGTGCGCCCGGGCGTGTGTATGTAAATGTGTTATTTTATCAAAGATTAAGCGAAGATTAAAGCAAAATCTTGTCCTGATGTGAATTCCCTTGACATTCGATATATTTAATGTTGGCAGGCGAATGGAGAAAATGAAAAAAAAAGAGAGAAATCCTATATATTTAAAATTTTGTTTAGAAGTTGTTGTCATTTACTTGGAATTATTAACTACAGTGACTGGCAAAGAGCAGCCATAGACTCTTACATTTTTCAATAAAATGACATGATTGATGTCAGGGTTTTAAGCACAACATTGAAAAATTATCTACGACTAATGATAAAGGAAACTAACCTACAATAATTATGTCTTCATTCAAGATTCAATTCAGTGTTCAATCATTAATCTTTGCACATACACTACAGTGGTGTACTGAAAATGTACACACTTCCGCTAATAAATATAATTCTCTCTCTCTCTCTCTCTCTCTCTCTCTCTCTCTCTCTCTCTCTCTCTCTCTCTAAAAAAATAATATATTTAAGTTTGGGTTTGTGCACGCAATCAAAAGTATATAATCAGGTCACATGATTTATGTACACATATACGTATAAACAGGTAGCCTTAATGATGAAATCTTTTAAAAATATCAAAAAGCCAGCCATGATAGGTAATTATGGCTTGAAGATTGTGTTAAAAAAGATTGTACTCAAGACTGTCGCCATTCGATGTTGATCTTATTTATATTTACACGGGCTCTGTCTCTGAGCACATCTACCCATAAATATCGCATACCTTTAAACTAATTTTTTCATCATATATACTTATATAGAGAGAGATATATAGATATAAATGCTGTAATTTACACATGACCAAATCGTCAGATGTAGAAATAGGAAAAACTGAGAATTCAGTAATTAATTTTGCGAATGATTACGATATTTTGGTTGAAGTGAGAATGAGGTTTCTTTTCAAAATGTCTGACCACTTTCGTCTTCCCAGTTTGTCAGATGAACACGAGTCGAAATTTATTCTACCAAATACTCGGCCTGAAGATTGCGTTTAAACATGGAACTGTTAATGAACGGCTTGGAGCTCAGTGTCCCTTTCATAATTACAAAAGTGAATGTTTTCATAGAAATAAAAGAAACCTAATTAACCGATGAAAAATAATTTCTTCGTTATAAATATCTTATAAATAATTAAGCAAAATAAATCAAACATTTATCCGCAACAGTTTCCGCAGTCATGTCGTCGACCAACAAATTTTATTACATTTAAAGACTTTTGAAAAAAATACGAACACAAATCTTGATTTAAACAAAAATAAACTTAAAATAATTTTAAAATCACACCTAATTATTAAGAGTAAAATGGAATCTAAAAAAATCTCCGTATGTAAAAAGAACGTTACTTATAAATTCTTATATTATTCAAGAGATTGCATCTCCAGTGTTAACAATCATAATCTTCGGTCAGTTCATGTATATGTCGATCATCACATCAAAAACAACCAAAATACAACAATTATTAAAAGACAAATATTATTATTATTATTGTAATATTTCATTTGGAGGAAAAGAAAATATTGTGGTGGGCTCCCTCTAATGTGTTTATTGTAGACTCTTCCACTTACTATAAAGTAGTAGGAAATTAAGCCTCGGGGGGGGAGAGTAATATAGACTGTTCTACTGAGGCTGTTCGCAGCTCCTGTCGAACTATCTGCCCTGAGGAACCCGTACGAGGTTATACCGAAGGCCAGAGTTTCGTCCGGACAGACCAGAAGACGTTTATGCGGGTTTTAAGGGGATTTTTTGGCCAAGCCTACGATCTCGGATGACCCACGTTAAACTCGGCCTTGTGCGTAAGAAGAGTCTCGTGTGGAAGATATATATTGTTTTTTAAGCTGGCAAAAAAAATTAACGCACAATCACGGCGTTCATGTGACGTGAGTTGAGAAGAAAAAAGATGGAGTGTACGAAAGGCGGTGAGAAAAGACTATGAGTAAGTTAGTCTACAAAAAAGCTAAAAATATGGAGTGTACGAAAGACGGTGAGAGAAGAGGAAGTTAGTCTACAAACAGAAAAACAATATGACAAATACAACATCTACATTTTGTCACTCGGTATTAACGTCTACTAAGGAACTTTAAGATAGTCTCTCTAATTTAAACTACAAGCTATTCCGGCATATACATATAAAGAGCCGTGACGGTATGTAGGGGAATCGAAAAGTAACTGTCGATATGGTGAAAACATTTAGTGGCGAAGGTGATTTGATGGCCTGGTTGGCGAAAGTGAAATTGGTAGCGAGACTGCAAAAAATCCACAACCCCGCAAGTTTTATGTTCCTTGTTTTAGAAGGAGACGCCCTGGCCTTGTATCTCCAATTGATCGATGAAGATCAACGGGATGCAAAGAAAATAGAGGCTAAGTTAAAAACAGCCTTTACGGACGGAGTTTTTTCTGCATAGGCAAAGTTAGTGAAGACGAGATGGAGCTGCAAAGCCGTTGATGTGTATGCAACGAAAATACAACGACTGGCGGAATTAGCAGGGTTTGAAGGAAGTGGACAAGAGCAGATCGTGAAGCTCACGTTTGTCAATGGGTTCCCGGAAAGTATTTCGGTGCCACTACAGCAGTTGCCAAATGTGGAGAAACTAGAACTCAGTGAAATAATTTCAACTGCCAGGGTGCTTACAACCACTCAGAGACCAGAAGTATTAGCGTTCGCAGAACGAGAACTTAAACAGCGTGATGAATGACCAAGAATGATCAAACCGTTTAGTGGCAAATGTTATAACTGCAAGGGTCCTCACTTGTTGAGAGACTGTAGGGAACGAATCAAGGTGACCTGCTATGGATGCGGCGAGACGGGGCATTATGTAAAACATTGCCCACAGGGAAAAAGAACAGGGGGCAACCGGTGCGCCGGTGGTTACCCCTTCAAATCAGCAATGGCGATTTCCAGAACACTACCAACAATAGAAGCACTGATAGAAGGCATGAGAGCTAAGGCCCTAATTGATACTGGCAGCACCGCAACATTAATCCGGTTGGGTCTTTCGGCTGATTGTAGGAATACAAGTACTGTAAGAGCAGTGGATGGACGGGAGGTTGTGTGCAGAGGGATCAGCACAGTGACGTTGGCGGTATGTGGACGGTTACTGAGAATCGAGGAAATTGTGATGGAAAAGCTCATTGATGGTGTTGACTTGATTGTGGGCATGGATGTTATCCGCCAGCTTGGAGGGGTAACCGTCTACGGAAATGGTAACGTGGAGTTCAGAGGAGGAGATTGTGCTATGAACATACAGTCAAACAGCAAGAGTAGCAAAAAAATGCAATGTGAAGTGTTAGATAAGGACTTTGGTGCAAGATTTGATGGAAAGAAGTGGACCGTGGAATGGAAATGGATTTCAGAACCCCCGATATTAAAAAACAACGTTAGTCACTATCATGCTAAATTGAGTAAGGAGAAGAAGATCGAGTTCGACAGTGAAGTTAAACGGTGGATTGAGGAAGGAATCTTAACCCCGTGGGACCAGGATGTTCAGACGGGAGTGCTACCCTTAATGGCGGTGGAACACCCCACAAAAAACAAGGTCAGGCCAGTTCTCGATTACCGAGAACTAAATAAATAAATTATGTGTCATTCTGGTGGGGGATGCAATTGACGTTTGTGGAGAAACAATGAGGAAGTGGAGGCAAATGACAACGGCATCAAAGATTGTTGATCTAAGGTCCGCATATTTGCAAATCCATGTCGCGAGACATCTGTGGAAGTACCAGTTAGTTCGGTACGAGGGACAGACCTATTGTTTAACGAGGTTGGGTTTCGGACTAAATGTAGCCCCGAAGATTATGTCAAAAATCCTAAAAAATGTGCTAACAAAAGAGGAAAACATCGGAAAAAACAAGGATTCGTATATTGACGATATACTAGTGGATGAAACTGGTACCAGCGGCAGACCTTGTAAATCATCTTAACAACTTTGGTTTAACAGCAAAGCCACCAGAATCATTAGAAGGAGCAGCGTTGGGTCTTCGGCTTCATACGGATAAAGCAGGAGATCTGGTATTTGCGAGAGGGAATGACTTGCCTGAGGTGCATGAGGAAATGAACAGGCGTAAACTGTTCTCTGCCTGCGGAAAAATGGTGAGCCACTACCCAATAGCTGGATGGCTTAGAATCGCCTGCGGTTATTTGAAGAGAAGAGCAGAAGAAATCGATTGGGAAGACATAGTGGATAGTGAAACAACCGGTGTGGTACGGAAAGTTGTGGAAGAAGTTCGACACCACGATCCGGTTCGAGGGAGATGGCATGTTCCCAAATTGGAAAACGGCGTTGTATGGTGTGACGCAAACAGTATGGCCACTGGTGTATGTATTGAGATCGATGGTGTGATAGTTGAAGATGCGGCGTGGCTAAGACAGAAACGTGACTACAACCATATCAACGTTGCTGAGTTGGATGCTACGATAAAGGGTGTAAACCTCGCGTTGAAATGGGGTCTAAAAGAGATTGAGATTCGAACTGATTCGGTTACTGTCCGCAGTTGAATCAGTCTTATGATAACGGACGAAAAAAGGATCCGTACAAAAGGAGCGGCAGGGCTACTTATCATGCGACATTTGGGGATTCTGAGGGAAATGATTGATGAATTTAATTTAAAATTGAGTGTAACGTTCGTGCCCTCTGACAGAAATAAGGCCGATGCTCTAACCAGAGTGAAAAAGTGTTGGCTGAAAGTAGAGAAAGCTATTACAGTGACGTGCCATGCAGGCCGAGATGAGGTCAAGGAGCTGCACGGACTGCATCATGTAGGAGTGGATAGAACACTATATCTAGTACGGAAAGTCTACCCGGAGGTGTCAAGAGATACTGTAGAGAAGGTGGTTAGAAGCTGCGACCGTTGTCAATCAATCGACCCGTCGCCAAATGTTCACGAATTAGGAGAGATCCAAGTAGACACCAATTGGACCAGATTATCTATCGATGAGACGCATTATAGAGGTGAAACGTATTTGACTATAGTTGATTGTGGCCCTGGCCGGTTCGCCATTTGGAGGGAGATTCGAGCAGCAACGGCAGACATCATTGCGAAGGAGCTGGAGGAAATTTTTTTCGAGCCTGGACCAGTTGAAGAGGTACTCATGGACAATGAGGCAGCGTTCCGTTCGGAAGTGTTTCGGTCAATGTTGGATAAGTGGAAGACTAGGCAATATTATAGAGCAGCCTACAGGCCTAGTGGAAATGGTATCATAGAACGAAACCACCGAACTATAAAAGTCATTGCCGAGAGAGGAGAGATATCGCCTGCAGAAGCAGTATTTTGGTATAATATGTCGCCTAAATCTGGCCAACGTGAAGACACTGTGCCACACAGAGCAGTTTACTCATACCGATGTAGACATCCTAGAGTTGCACCATGTTGCTCTGACGGCCCTGAATCTATACAGATTGGAGAGGAGGTTTGGGTCAAGCCAACTGGAGCCCGCTGCACGACAAAATGGACAAGAGGAATGGTTACCGGGGCACAGTCGCGCAACAATGTTGAGGTGGCCGGTAGGCCAAGGCATATTCTTGACCTAAGAGTGATTCAAGAGGATTTAGAGAATGAAGGAGACAATTGGAAAAGTTCTCATGATGCTAAGCCCCAAACACTGCGGAAATCGCAAAGTGAGCAACACCCGCCCAGATGGAAGGATGATTATATAACGTGATATGTGATTATGAGATCAGGGGAGCGTGTAGTTAAAAAAATGATCTCATTGGCGTCTGTACGTTAGAAGAGTCTCGTGTGGAAGATATATATTGTTTTTTAAGCTGGCAAAAAAAATAACGCACAATCACGGCGTTCATGTGATGTGAGTTGAGAAGAAAAAAAGATGGAGTGTACGAAAGACGGTGAGAAAAGACTATGAGTAAGTTAGTCTACAAAAAAGCTAAAAATATGGTGTGTACGAAAGACGGTGAGAGAAGAGGAAGTTAGTCTACAAACAGAAAAACAATATGACAAATACAACATCTACATTTTGTCACTCAGTATTAACGTCTACTAAGGAACTTTAAGACAGTCTCTCGAATTTAAACTACAATTTTTTAACCATATACTTGGTCACAACATCTTGGAGACGCAGGATTCGAAAAAACGACCTTCACGTTAAAACATAAAAAATTTGTTGACAACATATTGGCAACGAAGGACTCGAAGAAACGTTCTTCACGTTAAATCATAAAAACTTTTTTCCAGTGTCTTCAACACTGGTGAAGAAAGAAACTCTACGACAAAAGGATATCCAGTGTTAATTACTCTACTATCAGTGAAAAAAAAAAAGAAACTCCGTAAACAATAGGATTTCTAAAATTTCAATTCAGTGGCAGGGAAGAAGTTTGGTGACCCTTATTATTTCTATTCCAAAAGACAGTAAATGAGCTGAATAAGTCAAACAGACTTATTGTTTTCACTAATAGGGTAAAATGAAAATTTAACCCCTCTCTCACTTTTAAATTTTTCTGAAAAAGAATTGTTCAAGTCAGACTTATTGTTGGATGAAGTGAAAAAGAATTTCTTAATTTTTCGTATCACCGCAGTAAAATGGACGAATTTAAAAGTGCAATGCTAGGGTTATTAAAACAGCAACAGGAACAAGCGCTGCTGTTGGAACACAAATTTCAAGAAAGACAAGAGAAATTCCAATGAGAACAATCAAAACACCAAGAACAACAACATTTGCTTTTGGAGCAAAAATACCAAGAAAAACAAGAGAAATTTCAACGAGAATAAGCAGAATTGCGTTTGCAAAATGAACAAGAAAATAAAAAAAACTCCGCCTAGAAATTTTGGTTAGACAACAGAAGCTGGAGGAATTGCTCCTTAAAACACAGAATGAGCAATGGTACTTATCCAACAAAAGCCAAAATGTGGATAGCGAAAAAGCGTTCTCTCCAAATGCTATATGGAGTGCTATTGAAAACTTCACGTACGCATCTGAAAATGAAATTACGTTCACTTCGCATTTTAAACGTTACGAGGACTTATACAATACGGATTTTGCAAATTGGGCTGATCAAAAAAAGGTCCGTCTACTACTCAGGAAATTAGACATAGCAGAATATACTAAGTTTGTTAACTATATTTTACACATGAAAACCAGCGACTTGAAATTTAAAGAGTCGGTTCAATCATCAACAGAACTCTACAGTTCAAAAACGTCACTCTTTCACAAGTGTTGGAAATGCATGAATCTCACCCGCAAAGAAGACAAAGAGTATACTACTTTCGCGAGTGTAGTCAATAATCAATTCGATGATTTTAAATTGGCAGAGTCAAGCGCCAATAATTTTAAATGCTTGGTTTTCGTCGAGGGTTTGATTTCAGTGAAAGACGCCGAAATACGTCGTAGGGTACTCAACAAGCTTGAAAACGAGACCGACGTTACTTTACAACAAGCTGTCGAAGATTGCCAACGTTTCATGAGCGCCAGAGAGGATTAAAAAAAACATCGAACAGAGTGGCGTGGCTCACAGTAAAAATAACGCCAAAGAAAAATTAAAAGGGTCAACTAAAAAATAATAAAGTTACTTCGTGTGTGTGTGTGTCTGCATGCATTTTAAGAGAGTGAGAATGATTGGATGAATAAAAAGTTATATCCTTCAAATTGAAATTTTGCAGAATCAAATCCGCTTTTTTATTAATATTTATCATATTTATTTTAAATATCCTACTTTAAAAACAGTTAATTTTGATCTCAATAAAACTTTAAATTTGTTTTATACTGAAAACGTTATAGCGTGATAACATTTAATCAGAAATTGTTCTAGTATGCATTTTTTAATTTTTTCCCTCATAAAATGCATTTATATCAATAATCTTCGGAAAATTAACCGAGTAAATTCTTCAAATAGTTTATTTAAATATTAGATATTTAAATTATCGCAATATAGAACCATCAGCCTCGTCAGTATCATCAGCTGGCATTTTTAGACTATCATCAACAAGAAGGTTGTCACTCAATAAAACAGGGTGAAAAGCAGTATGGATTCCGTACCTCTGTGTCCACTGCTGATGTCTTGTCTTTATTCATAGAATCACTTAAGCGCTTGATAACAAATCTATCATGAGAACAATTTGGCCACAGAGGCGCGTTCGGTTAGCAAGGTCGAATTTACTGTATTTGAATTTCAATCTTCTATGAATCTCTCCTGTATATTCATATCTAACCGAACGCGCCTCTGTGGCCAAATCGGTAAAGGCACGTCAAGCTAAATGACGGTTCCGTATAGGATACAGGTTCGAATCCTGTCGGAGGACAAATATTTTCTGTGAAAATTTCTCGGACATTCAGGCCGTTAAATGTTGTTTAATACTGTTTTTTATAAACAGAGCATTTACTTAAATATTTATATCTATAAAAAGAATGTATAAACATAAAATTGTCTTAAAATATATATATATATATATATATATATATATATATATATATATATATATATATGCGTGTGTATGTGTTTCATATTCCCAATGTCTAAACTTCCTGTCGAACCCTTAAAAGAGAGGAATGAGAAACACATTTTTTTTTGTTTTTTTTTTCTTTACCCTTTTGAACTGCCATTATCTCTTCCTCTCATTTTTCATCTCATCTGATGAAATATGTTTGCTTTTAAAGCTTTAATTATAGATGCATGCATATATATATATATATATATATGTGTGTGTGTGTGTGTGTGTGTGCGCGCGTATGTGTGTAATCATCTTTAAATAGCGGGGAACTAGCCGATTCGCAAAAACAAAATCCGTGTGCGAATGCGTAAAACATTTGATGAGATCGTGTTTATTAAAATCTAACACGGTAACACGCCAGAAGTAATAACGCCTCGCCATGTTATATTCCCACATGACCGCGTCAGTTAATTTAGGCGTATGTATTTTGATAATGATTTTTTTTTATATTTATATATATGTTTGGACAGGATAGTAATCTCCTGCCGTTAGAAGTTCGAAAAGCGTGTCATAAACATCTAGCATACAATGGCTGGCCGTTTTAATTGGATCTCATCTGGACAACCAAGAAAGACCATCTTAGTAATCAGTAAAATTATTCAGATTACATGACTGAGAGATATAAGAAAGAATGTTAACTGAAAATATGGTTTAAATAAAAACATGACCAGTATAAAAAAATTGGTTGAAACATTATCACCCGACGAGATAATTCGACAAGATGAAATCAAATATTGATAATGATTGTATATAAGAAGCCCCAGAAGAAAATAAAAATGACATGAGTTTTCGCGAAATAATCCTGAATGAGTGACAAACGAGGAAAAAAATCATTCCCAAATAGTGGAAACTGCCAAATATTCATCTTTATAAAGGAGAATGAATTCCAATAAAATCATTATGAAAACTTTAATGTATATAATCTATTTGATTAGATTAGATTATTATATATAATCTATTAGATTAGATTAGATTATTATATGCAATCTACTATTATATTATTGCATCGAAAAATATTAGACTAATGGGAAATCCTTTTAATTAGATTCTCTTTTATTAAAATAGTTTAATTTCAACTTTAAAATATCTTCAATTAAGAAAACAATTAAAAAAACAATTCAGTTTTCTTCTTCTCCTCCTCATTCTTCTCTTTCTCTTCCTTCTTCTTCTTCTCTTTCTCTTCCTTCTTCTTCTTCTCTTACTCTTCCTTCTTCTTCTTCTCTTTCTCTTCTTTCTTCTTCTCTTTCTCTTCCTTCTTCTTCTTCTCTTTCTCTTCCTTCTTCTTTTTCTCTTAATAAGTTTTGTCTTTTTGTTATCTCTCTTAATTGCTGTTTTGTCTGTTTACTTGTTTAGCGGCATATCAACTCGTCGTGGGTCATTTAATTCCGAAATCTTGGGAGCATTAGTAATTTCTTTTACAAAAATTTATTGCTAATAATATTTCTTTTGTCCAAAATGCATTGCTTATAATTTTTTTATTATGAAAATTTATTGCTGGTATTTTTACTATAAAAGTGTATCTTATACTTTCAGAGTGTTTTGACCCCAGTTTTGGGTGGGGTTAAGTATTTGCTTATAGTTGAGAACCTAACAGGTGCTACCTCCCCGGGTCAGGATGGACGTAGGAACTCCAGCAATTAAGAGGTGGTTCTACTCTCCTCAAAACCTCCTGAACTGTTGGATGTAGTTTATTGTCATATCAAGCACACCCCTGTTCTGTCAACCAGTTACACAAACTCTTCAGGGAGCTTATGTGCTGATTTCCTCTGTGTCTCTTGCCTTCACTTGGCCCTGTGAGCATCAAATTTTCCGAACCCTCTTTTTTATTATGTACCCGAGAAATGTCAACTACATCCTTCAGATAATGTCCTTTTGTTTCCATTTTCTCTAAAACTTCGTCAATGCTCACATGTTTAGTCCATGGTATTCTCAGCATCCTTCTGTAGAACAACATTTTTGTTCCTTCAAGTCTCTTCTTAATCTGTGAGGACATTGTCCAGCATACACTGCCATATAGGAGGACAGATATTACATAGCAGTTCAACACTCTTTCTTTTGTTACTAATGAAAACTTTCTGTTTCTTAATACTTTGATTAGCTTTAGAAAATGTTTAAACACTCTTAAGCTTAGAAAAAGTTAAACAGCGCTGGAAACTGCAGCTACGATGGAACTATGAAGAATTTCATTGAAGATCGTAAACGAAGTTGAGGATCTTAACTCGCCGATATTTATCATGTATTAAGACATCAACTATATTAAAAAGAATGGTTCTTGTCAAGTTATGAAAGGTCGCTTCCGAAATCAAGTGCCAAAATGTCTGAAATTGATCACAAGATCCTAAAGGAAATACTAAGTGCAACGCGTAAAAGAAAAGATGAAGACTGTATTTTTTTCAACCGGACTTTTCATCAACAAATGTCATACTTCCCTTAACGAGTCAGACGGTTGGAACAAATTATAGATGGAAACGCCCTTTACATGTTGCAATATCAACAAAATGGTGGCGGTCTGATGTTTTGGAGTGGGATTATGAGTAGTAAAGGAGTTCCAGCGAATTAAGCCTCTAGATCTTAAGCGAGGATCACCTTTTTCGAACGTCATGGACTGACGTTACAGAAGCACAAACAAAAAAAACTGTATTGGATAACAAAAACCACATCACCTGTGGACTTTCAACAGTAGCAAGCACTAAAATGAATAGCCCATGTAACTCGAGGAAGAGAAAATAATCATATAATTAAGATGTATAATTAAGATTTGTACCTCAAACATAAAGCAAGGAAGGAAACCCCCATCAATACTGAAAAAAGTGAAAAAAAGTTACTGATCTTTAGAAACCTATTTTCCTTTAAAATTGTTTTGCTAGAAAGATTTTATAAATTTCATCCGACATTGGCACTGGCTGCCCAATCAATGTTTTCTGGTCAGGGAATGGCTACTAATACCGTTACACAAGGGAAGAGATATAATCTCAGTCTAATGAGTAGTGATGAATAAAGGTTTAACTCGAGTACCACTGCCTGTGAATACCGCCGAATGTTTCCTTAAAGAAAACGGCTAACATTACACGAGACATTACAGATAATACAGTTTGATCCCAGTCCGGAAGTGAAGGAAAACCTAACATGAGTAGAACTCTTGACTTGGTCAATGAATGCTAATATTATCATTTCTATTCCCAAAGCAATCAATGTCAACATGACGTTTCATTGTTTGTTTTTTTTTGTTTTGTTGTTTTTTTTTTTTGTTTTTTGTTCTTGTTGTTTTTTAGATACACGTGTCGTGTTTCAAAAATAAGTTAGACGTTTTCAGAAAGAAAGTGATTTTTACATACGACACCGCTCCTTCAAGTTCGGCAAAGAAAACAAATAAATAAAACAGGTTTCAAAGACAGTTGCCTGATGAAGTACTCTGGCTTGTTTAGCTTACTTTTCCTAATTGAAAACATACGTGATATTCTAGAAAGGAAGATCTACATTGAGGGACAGTAATTTACTAGTAAACATGAAGTATGGAAATATAACAGCTCACCAAAAAAAACAACAACAATGAAAGAACTATTCTTCTAAAACTAGTTTCAGAATATGAGCCTTACATTTCTTATTCATGTCGTCTTTATAACTCACTTGTCATTACAATGAAGCTGTTTTCAATTCTTTGTTCAAAGCATTTAGCGCAATTTCTGCTATTATGATTTTTTAAAACAGTGCTAACCTGGTAATAAGAAGAAACTACAAAATCCGGCAACATTTATAAAAAAACCGTCGCTACATCGTCTCCTATAATTTATGCATATTTTGTGAAAAAGCCTATAGATTAATCATACAAATATTTACAAGAATCCGTCGTTAGTTTTCTAAAAATTATAAAAAAAATATAAGTATCTCATAAGGTGAAACGCAACGTATAACCATTTGCAGTGATAATATGACTTATATTTATTGAAGATATAACTAAACATTATTCCTAGATACTTTATATATTAATGGATTCTGTTTAACAATGAAAGTGATGCTATGGAATAAAGCTAATGCTAAAGACTGCAACTTCTCTACGTCTGCCTATGCCGCCTTGATGTCTTCCATTGATCAGATATATGACAGCTTTCGGCTTTAGTTTTCTTGTTCTTCAGGCTTTCAGAAGTCGAGAGAAAAGTTCAGGAAGCCATCTTTATTGTAAGTTCACATTCTTCTTCATCATTTTCTTTGAAATAACTAATTACTGCTTGGGAAACTTATCACTCCCATCTTAAACGATATATTTGGATTATTTATGTTGCACAGGCGCCTGATTTATCGACGCACAATATTCCTTCTTGTAATATTTCATGCAATCCTATTACAAGCTCTTCAGGGATATCTGCAAATTCTTTTCCTAGAATATCGCGGGAAAAGCTGAAATTCATCTTGGCTTTCTTTTCCTTCTAATCAATTTTTATGACATTTGCCCTGTGAATAATTACGTGTAGACAGGGTTTAGTTTGAGAAATGGGTATTTCGGCTGAGGCTACTTGCTTTTAGCTTTTACACTAATGCGCTCTGCACCCTATCAGATCACCAGTTAGAAGGACAAACAATCTTGAGTCAAATTGTTCAGACAAAGTGTATAAATGAGAATCTGAACATACCACATTCTTTTAACGCGTTAAAGAAGATTACAGGGCGTCGTAATTTTTTTATTTAATATTAAATGTCGAGATAATTTTCGGACACATCTCATGAAAGTAGCTTCTCTCGTCGGAACACAATCTTCCAACATTGTTTTCAACATCTAAAGAATAGTCGCGATTGGTACATGTAAAGGATTTTGCCAAATCAATTTCTGTAAATGACAAAATATTTTGTATTTCATTTGGATCTTTAATCTTTGGCAATTTCTATTCTGTCGCCAATGTTTCGTTTCTTTCATACGAAATATAAAATGAAAGCGTAAAATTCTCGTGTTGGATAAAGGCTTACTCATCAGAACCAGCATGTGAAATTCAGTTAAAGCTAATATTTCTTCAAATATTTTAAATACTAAAGTTTAAGCGGTACAAGGCACGAGATATACTCAAGGTAGAGGTTTACTGTTAAAATGGTTACAATAAATGAAATGATAAAGATTATTGACTCGAAAGGGCTAAGATTATAGTAGTATGGAAAGCGTCCACGTGGAAGTCTGTTTAACAAAACCACAGGACTTTAAAAAAGCAAGTGTCTCAGTGGAACTTTCTTCTTACATTTGGAATGGGGATTCAGCTCCGTGAAAATAACGTCGCCTTTCCTAACACGAAAGGTCTGGACTGGCGGGACAAAAAAATAAAGCTCCCCTGAATATTTTCCATGAAAATAACGATAGACAGTCTCGCAAAGTGGCAAAAAGCCTGGAGAATAGGTTTTCTCGCGTAAACAATTTTGAATTCTATGAAGACTTGAAAGTTAAAAATGACAAGTCCTAATCCAAATATGGCAACAGCAATAATTTCGGTCTCATTGACTTTTGTAAAGATAAATCATGACAAAAGGTTGCGACAGTGCTTTGGAGCGACAGAAAGTTGGAGTGACAGAATGAAGCCATTATATTTACAGCATTTTTATCAATTGATCGTATAACGGCGTTCTACTTGTGGTCTGAAGTGAAATTCAGGCCCAGTAGTCGTTCAAAGTAACGAGCCTTGTCGATAGTGCAACGCTTGATTGTGACTGAAGAAAAATTCAGGATATGCTTGGTGATGATAAAATGATACAAGTTTGGTTGTAAATAAGAGGTTCCTGTCTAATAGATAAAGCAAAAGAAATATCAACAGATACTACTACATGATCGGAATTGACAGGAGGACTTAGTTGTGATGCTCGACAAGAGATAGGTTAGAATATAAGGAAGAAGAAATAAATCAAGTAAAAAAAAAATGTTGATCAGATTTATTAGGGAAACGATTAGAGAAATCCCCTACTTGACTGAGTGACTGAACGACGGACAAAATGGAAACTGTGAATACTGGCAACATCAGTGACATTAGACTGATTAAGCCACATGACGTGATGAACATTAAAGTCACCAAACGGAAAAATGTTCTCAAGTGAATCTAGAGAGAGTGTCATTTCTATAGTGCTAATTTTTTGTTTAATATGTGATGTGGGGCCAAAGTCGGTACCACAGAAGGAAAACACGGAACACGGGTTAGATGTAAGAAATATATATTAACAACAGGTTACAGAAATAGTGTAAGTGGAGCTTACTATATGTTAGTGTCCAATACTGGTAGTCGTACGCGACTCTCACTGTCTCTCTATCTCTCTGTGTAGAGTGTTG